TGTACATGCAAGAATTCAATGCCCGATTTTTTAAAGTTGATTTTAATAATTACTTGAGTGCGCCTTTCAGAGTTGTCATTTAGATTGTTGCCAATATTCAACCAGTGCAGAATATGCGTATTCTGAAATACCTAAACGAAGAAACTCCTGGATCTGGTGCTAAGGTTACTCTTAAACTTTTTTTCTCTTCTAATTTTTGTGAGTCATCACATACAGTGGGCAAAACACTGGTTGACCGATGGACTGCGCGATTTGGAAGCGTTGGTGTCACGTAGCGCTGGCGTTTATGCAGTCGGCGACAAGGTCAGCATGGCTGATCTTTGCATACCATCAATCATGTATAATGCTAAAAGGTAAGAAGCTATTAGAGAGGTTATTGAGCTATTGTAGCACTGGGATTTGATTGCAGATGGGGTGTAGATATTTCTGTTTTCCCAACCCTCAGCAAGATCGACGCTGCACTCGGTGAGATACCTGAATTTCAAGCTGCTCATCCTGACAAGCAACCTGATGCCAATATGAATGCCTAGATTTTTACCAAATGGTTAGTAGGAAATTGTTCCTAATAATTCCGAAGTGTATTGTATACAAAACTCGACAATTTGTATAAATCTCTAATACATCTGTTGATCTTCGTGCGGAATACGTATATTTACCGTGTGCACGAAGTGTACAATGAGTCATATAGTCCAAAAGTAAATGATCTCTCCCTGTACTTTACTAACTGGTTCTTTCAAAACATTGCAATGTATACTTCGATCGCTACTATGACTGGAAGAATGACATAATCTCTTTCGATCCTTTTTTCAAAGTGATAAGCCCTAGAATTTTCTCTGCGGTGATGTTATGGTTGAAATGTCATGTCGTATGCCGCTCTCACTACCTATTGCAAAGCGTGTAGAATTATCTTATCACTATTGCTGGAAATGAATCTATCTGAATTTTGCTTATTATCTTTCAAATTCAATCTTTAGGCCATTGACAACCCTGACCATCTGCGCAGTAGAGATATTGTCAT